TCAAAAAAACATATTGCTTACATCGAAATCTCGGAGATCCTCCATTACAACCGCTTTTCGGAGCATCTTGAAAATGTGACTTATTATTCCATTAATGCGAAATCTTTCAACATAGTAAAACATGCAAAGCAAATTTGAAACCCGAACATGGAAAGGGATTCGTATATTTGTCCGCTCTAAATGCAAAAAACATACGTGTTTACATTCGGCAGTAGATTTCGGATAATACTTTATAAGTTGTAGGGCTAACTATTGGAAGGTTTTATATGCATGTTAGTAAATTACTCTATTAATGTTCCTCGTCTTCTGAGTAAGTTTTGAAAATACGAGGATACGTATATGAACGTTTATTGCATTAAATTCGCATTCGCAACGTGTATAAAAATATGCTATCGGAAGATTAAAAAACATTTAAACAGTAAAGAATAATAGATTTTTATAGATACATTAAACAGTTAAGAATAATAGTTTTTCTTCATTTGTTTCACATTCTTCTAGACAATGAAAATTCATTTAAAACTCTTTAATTTATATGTTTCTCGAAGAAAAAAAATCGAATTACAAGGCAACTGATAAAAACGAGATAGCAAGTTTCTCAGAATTAAATTCGAAGCATAGTACAAGAGCCATATTTCAATCAAGCAATTTATCACCGCGTAGTGTTGAACATTTTGTTGGATGGGAATTGAATTGCAAGATAAAAATAAATACAAGATAAAAGAGAAATAAATACAAGTGAAGACAGGAATTATAAAAAGAAAAGAGAAATAAAAAAACATAACATTCTGCCACAAATGTATCTCTCACTTTCCCTTATCGACAGAGTTATTTTACCCAAACAATATTCGAATAAAGGTTATAGATACACTGATCTTTTCCCCTCTTCTATCACTTAACTTGTTTCTTATCACCATAAAAAATTATTTGGCGAAGTATCATTTGGCGATAGTATTATTGTTTCGAAGGTGTTATTCTTAGCTTTTATTATGAATATAGTGGTTGGGATTATTTGTTAGTAATTAAGACTTGTTTGCTATAAGTCAAAAAGTAGAATAATCTTTATTCTTACTTTCAATGATAAAATTATATTTCTAATTTTGTTCTTAATTTTCGTATTTTTTACGTATCTGATTTTATTAAAAAAAAAAAGTATACATGTCGCGGGATTATCGAGAAAAAAAACAGGATTTTCGTTAATTACCGATGTTGCTTTACAACAATGCTCAATGCAATAAATGTGACAAATACCATCAACAAATAATACATCAACAAATAATCAACAAATAATTACAAGGAACTGGATTTTCCAATTGGTCAATTTTTCTTTTCTTTCAACAAACGATACGGCCAACTGTCTGCTTTTGAAATACTTTGAATTTATCAATTTAAATCCAGATAATTTTATAAAATAAGAACATATATAAACTATTTTTGATTAAAGTAATTTTTACAGCATAAAATTAAGCAAAATGTGATAATATTTGCGCGAAAAAGCTTTAATTGAAAAAAAAAACAATTAAAATTTCATATGACTATGAATAAAATGACTATGACTATGTTTTCAACAAATAATTTTATAAATAGAAATAGTTTATGAACTTAAACGATTTAAATTATAATAAAAATGACTATTCAACAAAAGTTAAAATTTTAAGAATAATTTTTAAGTTTATTCTGAATAAAAAGAATAAAAATTATTAAGTTTTATAACTTTATCAAAGTATCATGGGAACGACAATGGAATTTTCGCATTACAGATAAAATATAATAAAATAATAAATAAAATGCGCTTATTCAACATGAGACAACTAGATTGTTAAGTTAACGTTCAAAATATGCATTTTTCACATTAGAAACTATACGAACTGACAAAAAAATAGTAAGTAAAATCGCATGCAATTAAAACTTTAAAAATGGTAAATAATTAAAATAGTAAGTAATTAAAACTTTAAAAAATATTTATTTTTGCATCATCGCAAAATTGTTTCTAAATACCTGTAAGAATATAAATTAAGTATTTATATGGGTTTGTATAAAATACTGAAACGTGAAAAGGGTGAACTTAATAGTTATTAATGAATATCGGACTTTATTTTTAAGGCTTCATAGGGAAAATTACTAAATCAGAAAAATGTTTTTTGAAAAAATTTTATTCCATATTTTTATTTATTTCTATATTTTTTTACTTAAATTTCATGTATATTATTTACATTAAATAGTCTAGGTCACTTTAATTCACTCAAGGAAGCATCAATGTTTAATGTTTTCGACTTCCTGAAACTTATTTAAAATTTATTTTGAGATTCTGAGTTCTTTATAGAAGTTTAACATCAGTAACCTACTATAAGCAATGATAACATAAGTATGAATATTGTAAAATGAGTTTAACATAAATGTAAATATTATTTAAAGGCAGAAACTTTGTGAAATAATGCGAAGAACTTTCAGAATTTAATTTTTCTAAAGCTTAAAAAAAAAAAAAAAATAGAGAGTAGTTCAATTTATTTACTAATTGATTCTTTNAAAAAAAAAAAAAAAAAAAAAAAAAAAAAAAAAAAAAAAAAAAAAAAGGAAATAGAGAGATGCTATGACGTATCGCCTACAAGATAAAATTTATAAAAATTATGTTAAAGATTCGAAACAACTGTTAATAGGTAAGCAAATCCTTTTTTTTCAAACCATAATAGCTTAAAGATGCTAATGCTAGTATGAATTTAAGCAACATACTATACTCAAACCAATTCGAGGTTTTAACTTAATAGGTCTATTAGAAATTGAATAATCCTGCGCATCAAGTGAAGAAATGTGAATTGAGAAAAAAAGATTGTAAGATAAAACTGTATGTATAAATTTGAACAAAATACTGAGTTTGCAGATGATTCCGATTATGAAATTAGGTGTGTTATTTTCTATTTCCATTGAGTAGTTTTCAGTATTTTTCTACAACTTATGAAGTTTCTTGAGTATTATCTAATACTTGGTGTCAAATTATCCAGAATAAACATATATAAATAACATATATTTTTCTCCAATAAATCAAAAATTTTGTTTGGAAAAACTATCTAGACTTCTCAACAATTTTCAAAAAAATTTTTGCTTTGTTAAAAATATCATTACAAATATGTATTCTTCATTACAAACATACCTATAAAAAAAGAAAAATGTATAGAAAACTTTACAATTGAGCTTTTTCAAACTTATTTTTAAAAAATAGTTTAAATAAAAATTTTCAAGGCAAATTTATTCTTTTAAATATTTTGCGTAAATATTATATATTCCAACTAAATAAATTTACTTATAAGTAAAAATCTCAAGGGGAAAATTGTTGAAAATATTCTGAATTTTTAAACCATTTTATTAAGCTATCATATTAATCTAAGAGATTAATTTCAAATCTAGCAAATTGATTTATTAAGATTAATTGATTTAATAAGCTCAAATCCAGCTAAAATAATTTTAGGTACCGAACAAACTTTTTTAAACATTTTCTGCTTACTAATATAGATTTTAAATTTTTATTTCTCACTTTTAAAATGAAAGAGACGCAAGCTACTGAAAAATAATTCACCTGGAATTTTATTATAATCTGTGTTTGATATTTCAGTATTATTTAATCAATTCAAGTCTTACTGTCTTCGACCTAATTTTATTGAAATATTTTAGTTAAATAATATCAGTTACAAATACATTTTTGTAATGAATTTTTTTTAGAAAAAATACAAATTAAAAATAAACATAAAGTTTGTAAAATGCGTATTTAATAGCCACTTTATGATAAATATTTCATTTGAATTAAAAATTACCATTTTTTTATTCAGTTTAAATTTACATTCAATTTATTTCATACCGCAAAAAGAAACTTAAAAAATTTACTAAGTTTAAATTCTAACTACTTTATCTGCTGTAAGACGTTTTTGAAGCTCAATAATTCTAAACTTTTTGTACTTTCTTTTTAAAATTTTCAAAAAAGTTAGTTTTTTCTTTCAAATTAAAGAAACTAGAGTCAAAATTGTTAAATCAGATGTTTTAAAAATTCGATTCTATTTTCAACGTACCTCGTTTTTCAGTTGAATATTTTATAATTATCGAAGCTTTTATAATTTATGCATATAAATCTAGATTCTTAAATGTTTTTTTCTTCTAATATTATAGCACGTTTCAAGAAATTTAATTTATTCTCCCAAAAAAAAGAAAAATTACTACATGATAAAGCCATTTAAAATATTAATAAATTATTGCATGTCACTTAATTTTTTTTATTACTTTCTAACCATCATAACTTACTGTTTTATTCATCAAATCCTAACCAACATTCAATGCTTTCCTATTATATTCAAATATTTAAATGATAAAAAAAACTCTAATCTATTTAGTATTTTCTCCATAATACATTATGTTTAAAAAAAAGCAATTTCATTGAATAAATAAAAAGCTCTAGTCCAAAAATGCAAAAAAAAATGTTTATAATTTCCTTGACACCTTATTATAATTACCTCTTTCGGTATCAGAGATTACCGTTTTATTTATTCAGTAGGTGGCTTGAATCAATAAAGCGGCCATATTTGAAGATGCATAAAACAGGTAGTAATGACGAATATTTCATTTCCACACAGGAAAATATGCAGCGCAAACTGACGCTAAATAAACTAGTTAATTCTAACTAAAAACTAATTATTCGCGCAATAAATTATTCCAACAATATCAGTTTAAACAGTTTTTTTTTCATTTATTTATTTTAAAAATAATTCAGATTAAAATAAAATAATTATTCTTTTTTAATTTTTTTAGCGTATAGAAAAACTTAATTTTACTATAACTATTTTTAATTTATCAGACTGTACGCATTTTTTATTGTTTATGTATCATTTAAAAAAAAATTTAATGTTGATTTAAAGGTACATAAATAAAATTAAAAAAAACGTCGAAGCGAACGTTTAAGTTGTAACTAGCACAATCGACGCGAAATATAAATCTAACACAAACCGAAAATAAAATCTTACCTTCAACTGCATCAGCAACAAGTGCGTGCGCTTCTAAATGCGAAGTGAGAGAACTAAAAATCCTCCAAATCAATCCATACAGGTAAGGTATCATAAAATATCCAAAACACACCTTTCACCAAAAAACACCGGCAAAAACAATAATCCACAACTTTTACGGCAAACGATAAAATAAAAAAAAGCCACACTTATAAGTAATCAAATCATATCGCTTCACCATCCACTACACACCGGTAACTCCTTCACCATTGGTTAAAACTCCACAACCTCTGAGAATCCCAGAGATGCTTTTAGATCCGCATCCAGAAACGGTCTGGGTGGAAAAGAAGAAAGGTTTCTGCGCGCGAAGATCGAATGGTTGTGAGAAGGGGGGGTTGCGGGGTGTTGCGCGGTGCTCTCCACCCCTCTACGCCCTCTGGAGGCCATCCTTCGCCCGATAGAAATCAATCAATACAGCTACTAACTCTCTCTCTCCCCCCCTAACCTTAACGCTACCATCCCCCCCGCACAAAGCCCCTGTCATTTATATCGCCCGTGTATGATGTGTATGTATGTTGAGATCTGTCACAATTATTCCGTGTACCGAAGTGTGTGGAAGGGTTTGTGGGTGGTGCTGATTGGGGGTGTAGATGGATCTGCGTGGGTGGTGGGAAATGAGTTTTTGTAATGATTCCTGCCTTGTTAAGCACCCATTTCAACCCCACAATTTTTTTTTTTTTTCGATAGACAGGTAAGAAGTTTGATGCTGAAGTTTTTTTTTTCCCTTTAAATTTTATTTTAAGTACGTTCCCCTTTTATTTTCTAGATTATGCTGAAAAACAACATTACTCGACTAAGGATATAAGTAATAATTCTGTATCAATGCGTTGAAAGGCTTTTGAAATTTTACATCCTGTACAGATGAGATTCTTACAAATTCCGAAATTTAATTGATTTTCAACAATATTCAAATAGAATTTTTTTTTAAAGAGGCAGATTTTTCAACTTTAACAGTCGATTTTTATCAAGGCCTTGCAATGCTAAAGCTAACCCAGAAGACAAGGGAGCTCCTCCATCACACTTATAGAGCATGAAGAGGAATATCATGGAAAAGGAACGCTAACTCTTGATCAATTACTTCAGCTGACGATGATTTTTGTCAACACTTGTTTGAAGTGAATCGCAAGTTGTATGTGAATTAACCAACCATTGTCGGGATTTGAACCTGAGTCGACTCATGAAGAGGCGACGAATGTAATTTACTGTACTACATGTGATATTTATTTATTCGTCTTTTTTCATATTTCTGAATTTACCGTACTGCTTGTACAAGAACTATTGAGATGGATATTCCAGGTACCTGATCGAAAAATAATAAAATTTTAAAGGGCATAAGTGGCTTTATTTATGCCATAATGATGCAAATTAATTTTCCAAAATATACTAACGTGTTAATTCATGTATCTAACATTAACAGCCGCGATGGCTCAGGGGATAGAGCGTTCGCCTTCCAATGAGGTGAATCGGGGTTCGATTTCGGCGATGGCTGGTCGATACGAATTCCGCATCCGGCTTGCATCGGCCACAGTGCTGACGTGAAATATCCTCAATGGTAGACGGATCGTGGGTTACAGTCCCCTTGCCGTCAGGCTAACCGTGGGAGGTTCTCGTGGTCTTCCTCTCCATGTAACGCAAATGCTGGTTAGTCCCACCAAAAAGGCCTCCAAGAAGGCAAATTTCACCCAATACTTGATCCAGGAGTTCCCTTGTCTTCTAGATTGGGTTCAAAATTACAAGGCTACGGAGTTGAACATTAGTAGTCGTAAACCCAGAAATTGGGTCGGCTGTTCAACGACGGTTATAAAATAAAATAAAATAAATATATATTTCTTAATGCTCATCAAAGCATGTTGACATTCGTCACTCGGAAATCAGAAAGACAGATATGCTGGTCACTTTTTCGGGACACATGACTGGGTGGGCCAACGTTGCCCTCACAGAAAGATGGGCAGATAATAGTAAGAGAGAAGGAAAGAACATCCATTCCTCCGAGATTCGAACCCGGGACGTTTTTTACATGAAGTCAGCCCCCTGATCACCATGAAGTATTTCGGCATAATAAATATATATATCACACTATTTCTGGTCATAGAAAAAAAACACGGGTATGGGGTTGCCGTTGAGTGCGTTGTAAGCATGGGAGGTAGTAATTTACTTATTTTTGCTGACAATAAAGAAAGGGAGAGTTCAAAATTTCCAAAATTATGCTTAATGTTTGAGCGACCCTAAACGAAATAATAAAAATTAGGGATATAATCAGATATAAATGAATTTTATTATAAAATTCAAGAAATACAAGCTCTTTTAGTGAGTGAATGGCAATGAAATAAAACATTATCTACTTTTAAAGTAGATAGCAGCTCCCTGGCCGTGCGGTGTCGGCCGCCAGACGCTGTGTGAAGCGTGGATGTGTGTAACCCTGGATGTATTCTTCGCGATGTCTTTCTCTAAATTGTTCTATCTGTCCTCCTACTTGACAAAGGTTCCTAAGCCTAAATTGAGCAAACAAGCCTGCAAATGTAAGCCGGCAATAAAAAGCCGGCAATAAGACTTTTAAAGTAATAATGTGATAAAAAGGATTGAATGTTATTCATCTTTTTTCATATTTTCAAATTTACTGTACTGCATGTGATTTTTTTTTCATCTATCCTCTCTCATTTGTAAATTTACTGTACTGCATGTGATAATTTTTATTCATCTTCTTTATGATTTCTGAATTTACTGTTGTACTTGTCATATTTTTATTCATTTTCTTTCAAATTTTTAAATTTACTGTGCTCAATGTGATATTTTTTTCTATTAGATTTCTAAATTTATTGCATTGCATGTGATATTTTTTTATTCATCTTTTTTATGATTTCTAAATTTACTGTACAGCATGAGATCTTTTTTTTTTTTTCATCTTCTTTTAGATTTTTAAATTTATTGTTCTACATGTGATATTTTTATTCATTTTCTTTCAAATTTCGAAATTTACTGTACTAATTGTGGTGTTTTTTTCGTTTTCAATTAGATTTCTAAATTTACTGTAATGGATATTTTTCATTCATCTTCTTTATGATTTCTGAATTTACTGTTGTACTTGTCATATTTTTATTCATTTTCCTTCAAATTTTTAAATTTACTGTGCTAAATGTGATATTTTCCTTTCTGTTAAATTTCTAAATTTATTGCATTGCATTTGATATTTTTCATTCATCTTCTTTATGATTTCTGAATTTACTGTTGTACTTGTCATATTTTTATTCATTTTCCTTCAAATTTTTATATTTACAGTGCTAAATGTGATATTTTTTTTTTATTAGATTTCTAAATTTATTGCATTGCATGTGATATTTTTTTATTAATCTTTTTTATGATTTCTAAATTTACAGTACAGCGTGTGATATTTTTTATTCATCATCTTCTTTATGATTTTTAAATTTACTGTACAGCACGTGATATTTTTTATTCATCATCCTTTAGATTTTTAAATTTACTGTTCTACATGTGGTGTTTTTTTGTTTTCAATTAGATTTCTAAATTTACTGTACTGCATAGATATTTTTTATCCATTTTCTTTCGAAATTCTGAATTCACTGTACTGCATGTGATATTTTTATTCGAGTTCTTTCATATTTTCAAATTTACTGTACAGCAAGTGATTTATTTTTATTCAGCTTCTTTTAGATTTTTAAATTTACTGTACTGCTTGTGAAACTACATTCATCAAATTCTAATCATGCTGCTAGCATTCCGATTTACATAACACAAGATTTACTTATTTGAACTCGGGAATAACTAAGTTCTACCTTGCAGTTCTAAGTCTTAGTTTATAAATTATTATAGTCAGTTCGGTAGGAAAATTTTATTATGAAGTTCATAAAATGTCCATAGATGAACAACATATGCAATAAAACATAGCACATATTTTTAAACTAATATTAGGCTGTAAAAAGACTGCATGGGACGTTTTAAACTTGCCTTCGTTCAAACTAAAAATTTATTACACTTTATGTGAAATTATTGTCCTTCAACATGCTGCTAGCATTCGACTTCTACATAATTTAAGCTTTTTGTATCTAAACAGAGGGAAGATAAAGGTTTAAATAACCATGAAGTGTGAATTGTGGTTTAAAAATTATTATTGTTAATTCGATGGAAAAATTTATTATGAAGTTCATAAAATGTCCCCATATAAACAGCATATGAAATAAAATATAGCACATATTTTTGAACTAATATTAGGCGATAAAAAGACCGCATGGGGCGTTTTAAACCTGTCTTCCTTCAAACTAAAAATTTATTACAATTTATGTGAAGTTACTGTTCTTCAACATGCTGCTAGCATTCAACTTTTACATAATTTAAGGGTTTTGTATCTAAACAAAGAAAAGATAAAGGTTTAACTAACCTTAAAGTGCAAGTCGTGATTTATAAACCATTATTGTCAATTCCATGGAAAAATTTATTTTGAAGTTCATAAAATTTCCACAGATAATCAGTATATGCAATAAAATATAGCTTATATTTTTTAAACTAATATTAGACGATGAAAGGACTGCATGGGACGTTTTAAACTTGTCTTCTTTCAAACTAAAAATTTATTGCAATTTATGTGAAATTACTGTTCTTCATCTTGCTGCTAGCATTCAACTTTTACATAATTTAAGGGTTTTGTATCTAAATAGAGGAAAGACTAAAGGTTTAAATAACCTTGAAGTGCAAGTCGTGATTTATAAATCATTAATGCCAATTCGAAAAGCATTAAAAATGCCAACACCATCACGTATTAAAACGGCAGTGAAACCCATTATTAAAGTTGTTAGTGCCAAGACTTGCGGATCTGCTTTTCCAAAATTCTCTAATAAAGCAACGGGTGGCCAACCAACGAGTGATTTAACATCCAACATCCACCTGCTGTATGAACTAGGAATCGTTGGGTTCAAACTTGCGACCTCCTGCTTTCAACGGTAACTTTGAGCTACAACAACAGAGGGCAAAAGATCACCGCAACCTTCATTTGTTTGACTGGATCGTAATGACAAATTTTCGGCATTTTTTTACCTTCTTTTTTATTCTTCTTTTTGTAACGATTAAATATTGTTTGGAAGTCAAAGTTTCTTTAACCTTAAACCCAGATAACACTGATTCGTATAATTGAAGGAAATAAACTTGGTCACGGAACGTTGCTTTAAGTTATGTTACTCATAGGCAATGATCGCAGGTAATATTTCACGTAAAAATAAAATGCCTTTTAAAACAGTTATATCTATGATGGCTTAATATACTTATTTTATACACAAAAATTGAAAATACAATTGAAT